GTTCAGCCTGGATCAGCAGGTTACAAACCAGAATCTCTTGGACAGACCTGGAAAGATGGTAACCCTGATCATAGTAGAAAAATGCAAAGAGACTTAAACAGCTCCAACAATGTGTGTGTTATGTGTGTTCCGTTAATGTTAAAGCCTGCAGCTTTGACCCTTTGTCAACTAAAAATTGCCCTCTTCTAAACTAAACTTTGTTAAACTCAAGTAGACAAGGGGCAAGTGGTTTTTCAATAGGTGATGCATGACAAAGCTCTAAATCAGTGATGAGAAATCTAAGGCACGTGTTCTGGGCAACAAACCAGCATTCACCAACATCTGACACCAACTATTTTTGAAAGTATGACCTGTTCTTGCACAATTTTTGAAGGCTGTGGAGGCCGCCGAAGAGCATTCTCTGAAGCTGCTTCAAGAACAAAGGTGTAGTTGAGTCCGGCACTGAGTTACAAGAGGGAGGAGTAAAGAGAAACATCAGCCTTGAATTGATACTTGCAAGAAGCAGAAGGGAATTTCTCTAATTTCTTCTTGCATTTTCAGATACTTACACAGACTATGCTTTAACACAATATCAGAGCTGGAAGGGACCTTGGAGGTCTTCTAGTCCATTCTCCTGCTCAAGCAGGAAACTCTATATCATTTCAGACAAATGGGTGTCCAGTCTCTTCTTAAAAATATCCAGTGTTGGAGCACCCATAACTTCTGGAGACAAGTTGTTCCAGTGATTAGTTGTTCTAACTGTCAGGAAGTTTCTCCTTAGTTCTAGGTTGCTTCTCTCCTTGATTAGTTTCCATCCGTTGCTTGTTGTCCTGCCTTCAGGTGCTTTGGAGAATAGGTTGACCCTCCCCCCTCTTCTTTGTGGCAGCCCCTTAGACCCTGGAACACTGCTATCATGTCACTGCTAGTCTGGCAAGATTTTGTCTATGGACAAACATGCAATAAAGAAACTGCGTTTCGCTCTTATTTGGGTTGTTTTTTGGCTTCCCATACCTGTCAGAAGGCCTCATGTGACCTGGAGTAGCCTGGTAAGCCTCAGGGGCCTGTCAACAGAAAGGTAACACTGCCTGAAGGTAAGCAGTGCATGGCAGATCCTGGCGAGTGCTGGGTTGGGGGGACAATCATGCTGTTCCCCAGGCTTGCACACCTTGGGAAATGACGTGAGGTGGCCTTTTTGATGGCAGTGAGGGGGCCAAGGTGAAGTCAAGGCCTGGTTCTCTATTTCAGGCACAGCCTCAGTGCTGCTGCTAAGAGCCAGTGTTAAGGATGGCCTAGAAGGGGAGATACAGATGTGTTTCTCTTTTGTTTTGTAGGGGTGCACATGACATACCAGCAGCAGAATCAAGTTAGGTGGTTTTCGAATTTGACATGTTAAGCCTGAAAGGTTCGTCATCCCTGCTCTCGATTCTTTGGCAGCAGATCAGAATAATCACTGAATAATGGTTTGAAAGTAGGGGTGCAACATGTGTTAAGCTAATTAGTACACATTAACATCTTTTACTAATTCACAGAGTGACGTTGCAGCTTGTTATTCCCTCGAGTCAAAGGTCTTTGAAGAAATTTGAAAGATCCTCTCAAAATAATAAATCTTGCTGCTGACCAACTATCCATATTTACTAAAACATAAACTGATACAGCATAGGAGACTGTTGTAAGAAAATAGGAAAAGAAAGTAGTATTATGTATGTTCCCTACCAAGAGTTATTTATAAAAAATAATACGGTAAAGATACGATGAGTCCGGTTGCTACCTGTTATGTATCTTATTTGCAAAACAATGGAAAATTAAACATTGAATTATACTTCTTTCATTGGATGAGTGGTATTTTAATGTGTGGGAAGTTGCTCTAAAAGAAAAATTAACAAAAAATGGGAAACCATACAAATTAGGGGTGCAATGATTTAGATATGAATATCCTTATATTACATTAACAATGGTTCTATAATATTGCTCTGGATAGAAAATTTCCTTACCTGCAGCATGTATCCATACTGTACACTATGTGTAAGCCCCCAAAGGATTTTTTTTCTTTTTGCATTTTTCTTTGATTTTTTTTTTACCCCAACCAACTCTGTATTCTATTATTATTTTTTTATCTTATGTCCAATTACAAAGCAAAAAGAAGAAAGAAAAGCAGAAAAATATGATGTCTGGAAGGAGGGTATCCTTTTCCTATGTTTTGGTTATACTCAGCTGGGGTGAGTTAATCATTGGACCCAAAACATACCTCTGCCTTTTTAATTTTGAGGACTTTGAAGCCCTTTGGCCCTGATTGTGGTAAACAAGGTACATCTTCTGCCTTTCTACCGTGGAAAGATCATGAAAACTTTAGTATAATTTCTAACATGGGCATTACACAGTTAAAAAGCAGAAAACCTAAATTTCTCCCCCTGAAACCTTGTCTCATCCACATGTACGGTGTGGCCTTGTCACTTTGTAGTCACTGCCTCTCTGATTATTATTATTATGGATCATCGCACAATCAGCCAGATGTTCAGACTGGATTTGGCATTTTGTCTACCTATCGAGTCCTTACCCAGGACCTGGGATAGGCAGATGTGGATGTTTGATAGTATTACAGGTATCGTCGCAGGATGGAAGCAGTTCCTAATAAGGCCACCTTTTACAATTGACTAATAGCAAATTTGTCAATGCCAATGGTGTTCAAGTGGTGCTCCAGTTGTTTTGGGATTGCACCCAAGGAGCCTATGACTATTGGTACTACCCTTGCTTGCTTTTGCCACAGTCTTTCTATTTCTATTTGTAGGTCTTTGTATTTTGTAATCTTCTCCAGTTCTTTATTCTGCTGTCTCCAGGCACTGCCACGTCCACTATCCAGACTTTTTTGTCTTTCTTATCGACAATTGTTAAGTCTGGGGTGTTATGTTGCATTATTATTATTATTATTATTATTATTATTATTATTATTATTAAAATAGCCCTTGGTCACCCACCCAAGATTGCCTATGTAGCCATGTCTAGCATTGCCAGCTTTTTAATCAATCCCTGCTCTTCCTGTATTCAAGAAACAAGAGAGGCTCAATACTACAGCAAATAACAAGGGGCTGCCCCAGCCTTGGAGTAAGTTGAAGCAGCCTACCTCAGACAGTGGAGCAGGTGTTATCTACACAGTGACTGGGATTTCTTTAAAGTGGGTGGAAGGGCCATTTTGTGACCTGCCTCAGACTGGTATTAAGGTTATGAGTAAGCCTAGACAGGAAGAAAGCCTCCAAGAGGCATCTCATTCTCAGATATGAACTATGGCAATATAGTGAACCTCAAGGAATTGAAGTCCAGCCTGGCTGGTGTTGGCTGTAATTGCCCTTCCTTTTGATGAGAGTTTGTCTCCTCACAAAAGTCTATTGTGCTCTTGTGAAAGCCCTGCTGACAGAAGGTCTTTGTTCCAAAGGGGTGATCTGGGAGGGAGGCTGGGAGCTCCAGTAGTCACCATTTCCCGAAGGATAGCATGTGGCAATTGTCCTGGGGCGTGCAATTCCTCCCTAGCCATGGGAACTAAAAGCAGGGGACTCCCACTCAGCCTCTCGGTGACCCCTAGAGGCAATGCCTGCCTCCCTAGCCAATTCGAAGATAACCGACTCCAAGGGCAAAGATGCTACTACTGCAAAGACAAAACCAAACTCAGGCCCTTTATTAAGAGAGGGAGGGAGGTCAGTGCCCCACCCCACAGTTCAGTCGGCTCATTCTTTAAAAGGGTCATCCAGTTTTGCCTTCCTCAGCTAGGAAGGCAAACTCTAAATCAGCATTTCTCAACCTTGAGAACTTTAAAGTCCTGGGTGGACAATTCTGGGAGTTGAGGTCTTAAAAGTTGTGAAGTTTGAGAAACCCTGCTCCAGGGGGATGGACTTGCAGAAGAAGGATGGACTTCACTGTTTACTCTTAGACACTTCTTGACTCCTGCAGTTCTTGCGAATTGCAGAAAGGAAATCTGTGGCTGTATTTGAAAATTGTATGGTGTGCGTGTTTGTGTTTGTGTGTGTGTGTGGGGGGGGGATGTGTGTGTGTGATATAGAGCCCAGGTTCCCCCAGCTTGCATGCTTGTGAGCAGCTACAAAGGCTCCAGAAAAGCAGTAACTTTGCAGGCCGTAAAAGTGCCACTTTATTAGAAATGTGGTACAGTAGCACCAGATTGGATTGTACTTCCATACATAAGGATCCACTTTCTTTTGGCATTCATTCCCTCCCCCCCAACATAGCTTATATTTTTATGTTATTTTTTTAAATTAAAAGTAAGCAAAAATCCAAAGCAAAAATGAGTTTCCATGTGAGTTGCCTGAGCAGGGAAGCAACAGAGGAAGTGATGATTTGCACTTCTGAAGCAATGTGCTGGACTACATTTTGTATTAACTAGTTAATAGTAGCTCCCCTCTCTCAAAACCTTTAGAGTTTCTCCATGTTGTGAATTCATCACATTTGAGGTTCCCTTTGACAGCCAATTAATGATGTTGGAAGCAGGGGCAGCACACATAAACTCGGTAGAAATAGTGTGCCTAAATACTGCAAGGTGGAAGGTGAGAACTCTACAGAATATATATATATATATATATATTTAGCAATGACTTCTTGTTGGCTATTAACCATCCTCCTATCCAATGGCCTTGACCTGAGCATAAAAGCAAGCAGATCAGAGCAATGTTGGAAGCATTTAATCACATAGGTCCATAGAAATTAGATTTTTGAATAGGAGTAACGCCCCAAAACAGTAAAGGGTTAAGCGCCCGATAGTTGGCTTGCTAAACCAAAAATGAGAACACTAAAAATTTGAGAATTTGCTTCTCAAAATTTCTAATATTAATGAGCGTTTCCAAATCCACCTGGATCTTTTATCAAAAATGAACAGAACTTAAAAAGCATTTCAGATGATAAATATTCCATTTCCCCCCCCCCTGAAATATGAAGCTACAACTAAAAAGAACAGAGCAAGTTGCAGATGGCACTGTTTTGCACAAGGAAAGCCCCGCCCCAATTAACAGAGAGACAATTCTGATCAGAAAATAGATGCCTTTTGTTAGAGGCGTTTTGGAGAACCCAGCCACCTCCTCACCTCTATTTATTTTTCATCATAATTTAAGGATAAATATATTTCTAGCTTAAATATAGGGGAAGAGAAAGTTCCAAAACAGCCTTGTAGCACCTATATGGGATATTTTTTGAGCTATTCTTCTCATTTTTCCTACAAAATTATTGGTTTTCCTCAAGTTTCTTTACCTCAATAAAATAAAGAACACTAGAATTTCTCTAGTTCTGCACTTCAGTGGAACGGTCCATTTATACTGTATAAGGTCACAGCCTTAATATTCCAAATATGGCTCAAATGAGCTCTTGGCCTAGTATGTGACATTCATACAAAACCAGAGCAACAGGCGGAAATTCTACCTGCAAAATGCCAAAATCTTCTTTCTATTGATCACTGCATGACCAAATCAACTGCATAGTCCTTGCCGACCTTGCATCAAAAAAAATATGGACAAAGATCAAGGGAGAATAGAATTCCTATTTATACTGATGGTAGAATAATAGCTCCCTAATTGGCTGCTAATTTGTCCTTCTGAATTATTACCTAAGACCTCCTACCTAAGAACCAAGATGTTTAATTTAAAATAGGATGGAATTTTAATAGCAAAGTTCCTTTTATATGTATTGAAGCAACAATTTCTAACCAGTAGCTTCCAAGTTTATTTAAAGAAAGGGTGGAGGCTTAGTAATAAAATCCCATATCTGGATCCTGCCAAGGCTTACACATCTTGAAGAGCTTCACAAATAGGCAGAGTTTTACCAGCTATGGCTTTTCTGGTCAATGCTATCAGTCACCTGAAGAGCCATTCCTTGTAAAACTTGCTTTTTCTTGCAGCTCTTAAAGGTATAATAATAAGCACTCTTTCAGCAACTGAAGCTAACCAGCTTATTAATTTATATACTTCTTAAATTTGTTTGTCGCCCATCTCACTGCAAGAGAACTATTTGACTATTATCTTCTGAGTAAGAGATTCCACTGCTTCCTTGGAGTCTGGGAACAAGGGTGCAGGCAGAGTGTTCTAATCTCAAATAAGGCCCAAGCCACTTGCCTTGTTTTTTCCCCATCATCTATAGGTGCCAGAAGTGAGGAGAGGTGCTCAGAATCATATGCTCAGTGGGTTTACATGAGATGGAAAATGATTCCTATACATACCCTGAGAAAAATTTACTTCAGTACTGCCCAGCCTACTACTTGGCTAGTCCTACACATGATAGTATGAGTTCAACAATTTGGCCATTATCCAAGTGATCATATGGAGACCTCAGCAGGTAGCTATTTTGGTTTTTAACAGCTTAAGGAACAATAGAGACTGTAGCTTCAGAATTTGCCTCTGAGTCTTTAGCCACGAAGTGGTAGACCTTCTGAGGTCCCAGCTGAATTTGCTTCTGATTTGAGATTAGGGAAGCTTTGCATAAGGTACAATTGTAGCTAGAGGAACAGCTAACAGCAACAGCGGTTGTGTTTCATCCACAAATAAATTATTTAGCGGGAAGCATTCAAAGAAGAATGGTGGAGATGGCATGAAGTAAGCAAGCTGGATCACACACAGTACCCATTAGATTTCCAGGAGGCTGCTTTGCTCAGGGCTGGTGGCATCTTTTTCCTCTCCAGCCAGGCCATCTTGAAGGGCCGCAGTGTTGGGAGAACTAGCCACTGTAGCGACTTCTTCTCGTTCAGCTTCACCTTCTGGGGGTTTGCCTACTCCCATTTCATTGTGGGTCTTCTGATGCTTGCTGAGGTGGTCGCTACGAGTGAAGCGCTTGTTACAGAGTAAACAAGTAAATTTCTTCTCTCGGGTATGGGTGCGGACGTGGCGCTCCAGCTCATCTGAGCGCGTAAAACGCTTGCCGCAGAAAAGCCAGTTGCAGACAAAAGGACGCTCTCCAGTGTGCCATCGCAGGTGGGCTTTGAGATGTGAGGCTTTCCCATAGACCTTCCCGCAGCCTGGGATATGGCAGCTGTGGATAGGCTTCTTCCGCAGGCTGGCAGCCGAGGCCCCAAGCCGCTCTAGTTCTTGGCAATTAGGGCAGTCACAAGTGGACCTGCCAGTTGTGCTGCCAAAGGAGCCCCCTCTTCCAGACTTCAAGGCAATCCCACTTTCCATCAGGGAGTTATTGGCCACTGGCTTGGGTTTATACATTTCTTGGGGCAGCACATGTTGTCCTGAAGGGAGAAGGTGTGATGAAGAAGTAATGCCTACTGCAGGGTAAGGAGCAGGATTCAAAGTTGTGAACTCGGAAGTGTAACTGGGTAGTTGGGGACTGATGGGCGCCTGACTCGGCATGGACTGTAAGGAACCCTGAAGTCCATCTGATTGTGGCTGAGAACTCAGCCAGTTGCTGTTGGAATGCATATCCCACCAAGAAGCCGTAGGGTTACTAGAGCTGGTAGAGATACCTGGGTGGATGCCAGCTTTGTACCAGGAGCCATAAGGGTGTGCCATGTCCAAGGAGGTATAGACACTGGGAAGACAATCAGGAGATGGATGCCCCTTAGGCATCAGCAACGAAGAAGGATCTTGAGTTGTGGGTGAGGCCGGGAAGGAGTGGGGAAATGGACTGTAATCATTGCTGTAAGTGGTGGAAGCTTGTGGGCTTGCTGAAGGAGACATCAATCCATTCCCATTGGGGAAAGTGGCTGTATAGGAATCTCCCATGCCTTCAGTGCTCCAGAGTTTTGGAGCAAAAGACTCTACTCCCAAAAGGTAAGGTTTTCTTTCCAAATTGTTCTCAGTTCTTCTTGGAGAGGTTGATTCTTGAACTGGATTAGAATTTCCAAATTTATCACAAGTGTCCATCAACATAGCCAGGGAACTGCGGCCATATTGCACTTCTTCCTAGGGGTGGGGAAGGAGAGAAAAAGCAAAAAAAGGCAAAAGGAAATTTAAGAATGCTGTAAATTGGGGCAGAGGAAATACAGGCAGGATTATAAACAGTATCATATTTATGGAAGCAGTGGACCATTTTCCCAAGAACAAGTATTTCCCCATTAAAAGTAAAAAAAAAAAAAAACCCTTCCTTATTACCATAATGCAGGCATGTCAAACTCGCGACGTAACGTGACATTGCACAACGTATCGGGCCAGTTTTGCCATTGTCGGCAATGAGGTGGGTGCAACTTCCACGTGACGCATCCGGCCCGTAGGCTGGCAGTTTGACACCCCTGCCATAATGAAATACTGTTATAAGATAACATGGAGCCTCCTAATCATTGGAAAACTCTGAATATTTGCTCTTTGCCCTCAGAACAAGAAAACCAGAATTTAAACATTTTTCAATGGAGATTGGTTTTAACGCAACAAAAATGTGAAGGCAACACAGTTCTGAAATTTGCCACTGAGACAATTCTTTAGTTATTGGCATGGATGAGTTTCATGGTATGTTATATTATAATATGAATTATAAACTGCATGTATGAAAAAGTCACAACACTGATGTACGACACAGAAATTACAACACTGTATGTACAAACATGTACAACACTGATGTATAATACAACACTGATGTACAACATAGAAGCTGTGAGTGCTTCATCACTGGAGGCTTTTAAGAAGAGACTGGACAGCCACTTGTGTGGAATGGTATAGGGTCCCTGCTTGAGCAGGGGGTTGGACTAGAAGACCTCCAAGATCCCTTCCAACTCTGTTATTCTGATATAGCTTCAAATGACAAGTCTGCTTTAATGAGATACACTAGCTCACTGCTCAAGGAAACGGCCACTTTAGAAAAGAATTAGACCTTCCTATTTTCACGATCACGTTATGTATATATTTTCTGCTTCTTCAGATGGTGACTTTTTCAAATAGCCGAATCAAAAGTTGTCCAAAGAAACCAGTCTGAAAAGATGAGTTGCAGAGACACTTTACCTTCTTATTACAGTCACAAAATGACAGCAACCACAGAGTCCATTTTGAATTTGGGAACATTGCCATAATCTAGTTCCAATGGGGCATTGCAAGAGTCTTTGGCATAAGGTTCTGGGCAAAATGCAAGGCATGGGAGCTGCACAAGAATAAAATGTACAACTTACATCTATTTTTATAGAAGTTCCCAATCGTGTTCAAATATGATAGGTCCTACTTTTTATTTCATCTGTTTGTTGCTTCGCTAATCTATACCTTATATCCCTAAGTATACATTTCAACCAATAGGGAGACAAAGATGGTTTGTCAAAAATATAGGATACATCCAATGAAATTCATTCTATGAAAAAAAAAATAATTACGAACAGTTCAATTAATGAAAAACAGAAAGCAACATGGAAGTGCCTATGTTGTTACAAGAAGTATCACTTGCCTTCGTTTCTGTACTGAATTAACCATAAACTAGGAACCATGAATTGAAGCTAAACACTGAATAGCATAGCTTTCAGATCAACGCCTTTTTCAACTAAGGGGCAGACAACTTGTAAAAAGGTTGGCTATATCTACAGCCATTACCACTTGTCCTATTACATTCTCAGCACTGCAATGGCACATGTACAGGCAGTTCTCAACTTACAATAATTTGTTTAGTTCAAAGTTACAACAACACTGAAAAAGTGACACGATCAGTCTTCACACAACCATCACAAAATCCCCATGGTCATGTCATCAGAATTTGGGCACTTGACAACCAACATGTATTTATGGTTGCAGTGTCCCGGGTAGTGGTGGGATTCAGCCAGCTTGCACCACTTCAGCAGAACCAGTAGTTAATTTTTTGTTGCCCAGGCCCAGAATGGACTTCTGGAAGCGGCATCCACACAGAGAACCGGTTGTTCACATATTTAAATCCCACCACTGATCCTGGGTAATGTGATCCAATAGTTCCCACCTTCCCAGCCAGCTCCCAACAAGCAAATTCAATGGGGGAAAGTGGATTTGCTTAACAACATGATTCACTGAAAAACCGTGCACTGCAGTGACTTATTTAACAACCATGGCAAAATGGTCATAAAATTGGGTGTGATTCACTCAACCATTGCCTTGCTTAGCAACAGAAATTCAGGTTCCAAAGGTAGTTGTAAGTTAAGGGTTACCTATGGTTAAACCTATAGGGAAAACCTTGACAGATTGGACTGGATCTATTCTGGTTCCCACTACTAAGAAATTCATGGGTAGGATGTGTGAATGCATCTTGGAATCTTCAAGGTTTCATGTAAAGCACCTAAAGTCCTGCCATTGTAAAAGGGGAAAACACATTTTTAACGAATCTTAAGGGGAGAAGCTTCAGATATCATAAGCAGGAACATTTCAGGGGATATATACCCATTAGAGCAGGGGTCCCCAACCTGTGGGCTATGGCCCATTACTGGGCCACGGCCTGCTGGCCATTGGGCCATGGAACAAGCTGGCCATGGAACAGCGTGCCCTTACCCCACTCACACTAGCGCCACCACCACTACGCAAATGGGACACTGTGGAGGAAAAGCAGGGCGGTGCTAGTGCCCTCACAGCAAAAACGGGGCGGTATTAGCGAGTGTCACGTGGGTGCTAGAAACACCCTGCTGGCGTTATGTGTGCTCGCAGCCTCGTTTGTGTGTGTGCATTCGTAAAATGCTTCCCCCTCGCTTTCCCTCCAATCTGCCAACTGAGAAAGGTTGGAGACCTCTGCATTGGAGTAAAAAAAAGACCCTGGGATTGGATTTCAAAGAATAAATGTCTCTATTCTTCTGCCTGTCCAGACATTTTTTAAATGTTTTCTTGGGTTAAATTAGCTACAGAGTTTGGGCACTGGCTGATAGTTGTCCTTTATCACCTGTACCTCCCCTCCCTGCCTGAGGTGAGCTGTCAGCCTTATTTGCCTAGGGATCTTTTTCTTCCTATGGCAGTGATGGCGAACCTTTTAGAGACCAAATGCCCAAAAACTGGCCCCGCCCCCGCTCTGCCCTACCCTGCCTGCCCGCAGGGCCACTCACGGCCCCCAGGGCCCGCCGCAGATCACCCAGGCAGCCCAGCACCACCATGGTGGCCACGCCCTCTGCCCGCATCCCGCAGCATCAACTGTGCGTGATGGTGCATGAAGGCAGAGTCTTGTCCATGCTGCTTGGCTGCCATGTCCTTGGCTGCGCTGCTCCGCATGGGCCACGCTCGGGAGTGACTCTCCTCCAGCGGGGCTGCCGGTGAGGAGGGGATCGCGGGGGAAGGCAAGGCTGGGGCAACGGCACATGTGCCCACAGAGAGGGCTCCAAGTGTCGCCTCTGTGCACCCATGCCATAGGTTCGCCACCACTGTCCTATGGCATAAGGATCACAAAGTAGTGTAACTGCATTCACAAAGTGAATCTTAAATGTTATATATTCTTATTAGATAATTCCCATTCATATAGTTAATGATTGCACACCACATCAAATCTGTTCTCAATTTAACATTTATCCTTATCAGTTTCAGATAAGTGGAACCAGTGGAACAGCTTGCCTTCAGAAGATGTGGGGGCTCTATCACTGGAGGTTTTGAAGAAGAGATTGGACAGTCATTTATCCAGAATAGTATAGGGTCTCTTGCTTGTGCAGGGGATTGGACTGGAAGACCTCCAAGGTCCCTTCCAACTCTGTTATTCTGTTAAGTAGTTATTTTAGAATCTGTATTCTTTGGTAAACTGCACCGTGCTACATAACTGAGATAGAAAAAGCTGGGTCTTTTACTGGAAAAATGCATGTCTTAAACCATGGAAAAGGTCCCTGTTTCAAAAGCCAGGAACAAAAATGTGAAAAAACTTGAAATTCAAGTAGCTTTGCATTTCACTCTAGCCGTTTCACAAATCTCACCTTGTGGTATCACAGCCAGAGGTGAAATTCAAAACTTTCTTCTACAAGCAAGGAAAATTACAGTCATGGTGACTTGTGGCAGTGTAGGAACAACACAAGAACACATTCTGAAAAGAAGGGTAAGAGTTAGAGCCAATACATGAGTCTAGTTTTTCAGAAATGCTTAATTGCAGATTTGCAATTTACCGACAATGATCATTTCATTCACACAACTCCAGTAAGACAATCTATCACACACAAATTACACTGGCCTAAACTATGTACAGGTCGTCCTTGACTTATGATCACAATTGGGACCAGAATTTCTGTTACTAAGCAAGACAATTGTTAAGCAAGTCACACCCAATTTTTCATCAAGTCTTTTTGTCAGAGTTGTTAAGTTGTTCAGTTCTTAAGCGAATCACATGGTTAAGAGAATTTGGCTGCCCCACTGACTTTGCTTTTTGATCACGTGACCAAGGGAATGCTACAACGGTCATAAATACAAAGACCAGTTGTAGGTCACTTTCTTCGGTGCCACTGTAACTTCAACAGTCACTAAACAAATGGTTGTAAGTTGAGGACTACCTGTAACAAGTGCACAGCAATGTTCCTGCTACAAGGCATGGGAAGAGGAATAGAGATGGAGCTGAGGTGGTTGCAAATGGAACAGAGAATAGAGAAAATAGAGAGATAAATTCAGTCCCTTTGGAAATCAAAGAGATATCAAAGGCCTTTTTGATGGAGGAAGGACAGTATTTCTTCAAGCTATACATTATTTTCACTATCACTGCATCATATCTTTATCTTCAGCATTAATAGCTGTGATAAAGAATAAGAACATTCCTATGCCTATTACAGGTTAACTGAGCGCACTAATTTTCTAGTATACATTTCAAAGTCTAGTATACACTTCAAATATTTCAGATCTGAGTCCCAAAGTGGCTTCGGTATGCATAGGACCATGAATACTTGCCTGCAACTCTTTAAAGCAGCTGTGTCCATCTTTTTGGAATCAAATCTGAAGAATTGCTCCTTTCTTCACATTTTAAATTCAACCTGGAGGTTCTACTAGCTCTGAGGAACAGACTAACTACTAAAGAGGGGACC